TCAAAATCAACTTTAAACACACAGATGTATCTTCAAATGTGTTTACATCTATAGATTAGTGTTATATCTACCTATATACCACTTTATAATGTCACAGTGTATGGCATTTAAAGAAAACTGGGCCGTTAAAGTCAAGCTCTTTTACTGTATTTTCTTAAGAAATATTATCAAATAAGAATATGTGATTGATCACTTACAGACTTTAATGGTTTCACAAAAGGAACGACATTTCTCTTCTGACATGCTTGATTGTATTGCAGTCATTACATTTCCCCAAGACTCTGCACCAGTTTGATATAACGATTGTTACAACAGTGGAATTGCTATAAACGCATTGACGCGCGAAAGGGACGCGGTAACTAAAAAAATAAAACATTAACATAAATACAAATTTTTTTATTTTTTTTTAGATTTTGGGATATTGAGATCCCGCCTTGTGTTATATGGCATAACGTGTTTAGTCAAAACACACACAGCCTCTGTTCCTTTTGGGACTTAAATCTAAATCCTGAGAACCTGTTGTGTTTACCTTGACACACTTTTTCTCTGGAATGAGTAAGATACACATTTGAAATGGAACTCGAGTCTGCGGCGTGCTTAGCGATCACTATTACTGTAAGGCCACAATAGCACCCGAATAGGCCTCTGAAAAGCAACGCCACTGATTACGTTACTGATTGTTGTTTGAGACAACCAAACTGGAAATGACAATGTGACAGCAGAGATCACATCAGCAATGGGTATGGGTTTCATATGATTTATTTTGTTAAATTGCACTGAAGTGTAGCGTAATTCACTGTGGTTTGAATTCCAATATCTTCCAGATGAATAAATTATATCGCCAACTTGAACAAGGGGATATTATGTTGTGACAACGATAGTCTGCCGTCTGTTTATGTTTGTCACTGTGAATAGCCATGAACACAACGACGGAAATTATCATAAATAATTTGTTGCACGTTATTCTACTGCTTTACTGCCCAGATCATATTACACTGCATCATGAATAACACACCCCAAGTCAAATTAATGACACTTTGCATAATTGACACGATCGTTGTGACAACGATAGTCTGCCGTCTGTTTATGTTTGTCACTGTGAATAGCCATGAACACAACGACGGAAATTATCATAAATAATTTGTTGCACGTTATTCTACTGCTTTACTGTCCAGATCATATTACACTGCATCATGAATAACACCCCCCCAAGTCAAATTAATGTCACTTTGCATAATTGACACGATCGTTGAGTTTTGCCATAGTTGACGGTTGGTGTGAAATTTGATTCCATCATCTCCAGGACACGATGCTTGCCCATTGCCCATTGTCTTGCGAACTAAATTATTACGATCTACAATTAATGTTCCCTTTGAATTCGTTATAACCGTAGTTTGCTGTATAAACTTACTTTGATATTCCCAATGGTGCGTGAATGTTACTGAGTCCCTTGTGTGCCGGGGGCACGGGTGGCCCAGTCGTCTAAGGCGCCGCGATTCGCTGTGCAGAGTTGAAGATACAAGCCAAACACTTCTGATAGAGACTATGTTGAGAATGTAGAGGGGAAAGGGCTTCACCTTGAGCACCTTGTTTTCTTTAAATACGATGTACCGTGACATTATAAAGTGGTACATAGGTAGATTTAATACTAATCTATAGATGTAAACCCATTTGAAGATACATCTGTGTGTTTAAAGTCGATTTTGACAGCCCGGGCCAAGTCGGACCCAACACAAGCCAAACACTTCTGATCGAGACTATGTTGAGAATGTAGAGGGGAAAGGGCTTCACTTTGAGCCCCTTGTTTTCTTTAAGTACAGCGATCTGAGACACTATAAAGTGGTATTTAGGTAGATATAATACTAATCTATAGATGTGAATCCATTTGATGACACATCTGTGCGGTTTAATTTGATTTTGACAGCCAGGGCCAAGTCGGACCGAACACTTCTGACTTGGATTTTCTTAAGAAAATACGGTAAAAGTGCTTCACTTTGAGCCCCTTGTTTTCTTTAAATACGATGTACCGTGACATTATAAAGTGGTATATAGGTAGATATAATATTAATCTATAGATGTAACACATTTGAAGATACATCTGTGCGGTTTAAAGTCGATTATGTCACATATTTACTCACGTTTTCCTCAATCGCATTGAAACAAAATTCCCACTGGTCAGTTCGCCACCGCATGTAATTAAATAATTATTTCGAGATTTCGTTAGAATGTAAGATATTCAGCCAAACGTTATGCAATAAAAGACGAATAGTTTTTTTCATTAAAATACGCGCACGCGTACCTGTATATTTCATACCTACCCCATTAAACGATGATACACATCTTGATGAATATCTCAAGGCACTAATTCATTTTCCATAAACATTTGTTTGTCTTTGTGCTTAATATATCCACGTATCAACGAACATTTGTAAAACATGTATCCACAAAAAAATAAACATTTTCAGGCAAGGTGTTTGCCCACAGCAACACCTGCATAACTGTTTATTCACGCGTGGTGTGGTAGATCGTAATTGACCGACAGCAGGTATTGTAGAATAACTTGTAAATAACGCCGACACTGTAATTGGTACAACGTCCTAATGAGAATATGAGAATTATCATAAGAAGGCTGTTGTTTTTTTTCTGAACTGTTACCATTTTCATACCCAAAGTGACAATGCAGTTAAAAGGTGCTTTAGTGTCACAATATTCACTCACGTTTTCCTCAATCGCATTGAAACATAATTCCCACTGGTCAGTTCGACACCGCATGTAATTAAATAATTATTTCGAGATTTCGTTAGAATGTAAGATATTCAGCCAAACGTTATGCAATAAAAGACGAATAGTTTTTTTCATTAAAATACGCGCACGCGTACCTGTATATTGCATACCTAGTGTCACGTAATTGCCCAGTGTGATGTATCAACGGGGCATAAAATGATAAATGAAATAGAAACTATCTAAACTTTAATGATAAACTGTCAAAACGTTTTGAGAGGTAAGGCCGGGTTCATTAAAGATCGCTACAAAATGTAAAACAGGTGAAATTTGTAGAACTTCTATAAAGGAAACATCCAATCAAATGCCCTTTTTAAATAGTAATGTAATGATATAATATAAAGTATATTTGACACGATACAATATAATTTGCACACGGTTAGTTGATGCTTTAAAGGGACTGACGAAAACATGGGCGAAATATTTTAATAACGCCGTAAAATAGTTGAATCATGTGTCATGCTTGTAGACACACCTTTATGTATTTGCGAAACTAAAACTTTTGAGCAAAGGAAAATATTCTCGCCCATGGGCCAATCTTTCTCGTCCAGAGCGAAATATTTCAATAACGCCGTAAAATAGTTGAATTAAGTTAAAATTTGTTAAATTATGTGACATGAAACTTCTAAGAACACCTTTATGTATATGCGACACTAAAACATGAGTTTTGAGCAAAGGGAAATATTCTCGCCCATGCATTGGCGAGAATATTTCAATATCGCTATAAAATCGTTGAATTAAGTTAAAATGAGTTAAATTTTGTGTCATGATACTTGAATAAATACATTTAATGTATTTGCGAAACAAAAACATGAGTTTTGGGTAAAGGAACATATTCTCGCCCATGGGCCTACCCATGGGCCAGTCTTCGCCCATGGGCAGGCCCATGGGCGACATAGTGTAAATATTGGGTTTTTGAACAATTTTTTTTTCATTTTTTCTTCCTTGGTATGTTCCCATGAAAACAGCATGTTTAATTTTGTAAATACCTTTAACCGAGACTGGGCAAAGAGCGTAGAGTTTCTGGACATTTGGGTTTCATGAATTAAAATGGGACGTGTTCTATATTAAATGATATGTTCCTGTGACGGGTGCGCTCACCTGGAATCATCATTACATGATAGTGATTCATTAACGCATTCTTTTGATGTAATCAGAACGGTAAATGGAATCTTTTTTTTTGCAGAGCCTTCTTATGCAAGGAAAATGGTTTAGGTAAACGACTGAGTGGTTTTCGATTACTCAAGAGTCAGTATAACTCCCTTAGTAACCCATAAGATGGAAGTCGGTACTTCGAAAGCACTAACCTCCCTACAACCAAAACTGAAATACGTAAATCCTCACACGTCTTTGGGCATTATGAGATTTACAAGCAGAAAATGTCCCGGATATTCCTAACTTAGTCGTTAAAGATGATTGGTTGATCAACTTGAGTGATCTTGTGATTGTGTGATTGTGTGATTGTGTGATCTTGTGATTGTTGATCTTGTGATTGTGTGATCTTGTGATTGTGTGATTGTGTGATTGTGTTATCTTACGATTGTGTGATCTTGTGATTGTGTGATCTTGTGATTGTTGATCTTGTGATTGTGTGATCTTGTGATTGTGTGATTGTGTGATTGTGTTATCTTACGATTGTGTGATCTTGTGATTGTGTGATCTTGTGATTGTGTAATCTTACGATTGTGTGATCTTGTGACTGTGTTTTCTTACGATTGTGTGATCTTGTGACTGTGTTATCTTACGATTGTGTGATCTTGTGATTGTGTTATCTTGTGATTGTGTGATCTTGTGATTGTGTAATCTTACGATTGTGTGATCTTGTGATTGTGTTATCTTGTGATTGTTGATCTTGTGATTGTGTGATCTTGTGATCTTATTATTTGTGATGTGATGATTGTGTGATATTGATAGGCAGCCGTGATATGGATAAAATTATACTGACTGTGGTGTAAAATAACATTCACTCGCTGTCATTTTGAAATACACACACACACACACACACACACACACACACACACACACACACACACACACACACACACACACACACACACACACACACACACACACACACACACACACACACACACTTTGCTCTTAGAGTTTCTTAAAACAGACACCTATTTATATTTCTGCGCCAGATTTTGGACTTTAAAACAGATTTTCCTTCAAAGACATATTGCAGGTTGTGAATGGGGAAAACCTTGGTGTTTCAGAACGCATCAATGGCCGTAGGCGCCCTGGAAGTAACGGCGAAGATGGAGGAGGACATATCTTTCTCGTACACTATACTGTCAACAAAAGCAAGCATCCTCGTGAAGAAAGGCGAAAGCACCAGAAATTTCTTTCAGTTTCTTGGACCATTTTCTATAGGTAAGACAGTGTTTACATGTACACATCGAACCTATACCACTAAACAAAAAATAAGGACAAACCGGTTCATTTGTATTACTATAGTAAATCGGTCATGCCATGACAGATTAACTATAATAGTAATATGATAGAATCGTGTGACCCTTAACTTTTCTTGACTAGTCCTTTTGACAAACAAACTGCTAAATATAACAAAATATTTATTAATAAAAGTATCATAGAAGCTTTGGGTATGGTTAACTTACTTGGACCTTCTTCCAAAGCAAGCAATGCTGCCATCAGCGGTATAAGCAATGATATTGTTAATGGAACGGAAAGCTGCATTGATAATCTTCATCCAGGCTGTACTACATCTTCCCAACAACGGGATGTTAACACGCCTTGCCACAGGTACACTGCCGGACAAAAGAAAGTGTACATCCACGTGTGATGGTGGCTATAAGTAAAACAAACAAGAAATGGTTACTAGTATTTGATGATGATGCATTTAATAAGGGTATCATAGTTGTGTTTTGGACATAACGTTTAGTGTTTTAAACCCTGTGACGTTTCGATAACGTTTGGTCAAATCCAATTTTTAAGTGAATACTTTCATTATGTGTAGATTTAAAGGCAAAGGTAAATGCTATCTCTGATAAGGTGTGTCTTGTATATAGCTTGTATACTTGTTCTCTAAATCCACCACTGGTTCACATTCGACCAGATACCACAGCGATATAGCTATAGTAGTGAAGTGTAATATTGCTTATATCAAGTAGGAAGAAGCGTGTTTACAAACTGAATCATTTCAAGGTTTTCCATTGTATCAGGTTTATGGTTCATGATCCTTGGGTTTATCATGGTGGCAGGGACTGCCCTGTACACTATGAGCCGGTTCGACTACACCCAGGAGAACAGCGAGCAGAGGTTCGACCTCAAGGAGAGTCTGTGGTATTCCATTAACGTCCTGCTGCAGGTAGGAACACGAGACATTAATGCTGAATCGGAAACAGGATCCTATGATCAAGAATTCGAGTTCATTATTCGCTCTGAATACGATCCTGTGTCAGCACGAAACGATAACGTCTGACCCTCATCACCTCCATCTTTCCTCACACATCAACATTGACCCTCACCACTTCCATCTTTCCTCACACATCAACATTGACCCTCACCACTTCCATCTTTCCTCACACATCAACATTGACCCTCACCACTTCCATCTTTCCTCACACATCAACATTGGCACGCAGTAGTATTACTTTAGCAGTGTTCAAAGCGGCGTAAAACAACACTCACTCACCTACTCTTGATGATCCTCACATATGTCCTTACATGAAAGTGCTGAAAGCGATGTGAAAAACGTGAATAATTTCGATTAATCTTGTCCTACAACTGAAGAGTGTTTCTTCGGGGTGTAGATTGCAGTGGTAAACACAATTCACTCACTCCGCACTGTTTAGGGGTTTCTTCTTGAGTGTACGGCTAGATGGGAAGCAGCGTTAAAGAGTACACCGTCAGTGTTTACATTGAATAGCGACATATTACTAAAAAAACGTTTTGGAATGAGTACTGAAATGGGCTTTAGTATACGTGTAAGCGTATATTGGACGTTAGTTCGTCATACAGACCCCGAAACAAATACATCCAATACAGCCCATGCAAGTCTATAATGTTTGGCAAGTCTAGATTTCTGCAGTATCAGGAACATGAAGAAAGTATCTGGGCTCCTTTTTATTATATAATTTCATAACTATAATTTAACAGATGTTTTTTTTCTGTAAAATATATTCATTTCAGGGATTAGATTTTAGTTGACGTACCATCATAACGAACACTGTTCCACTGGGTGAAGAAATAAACTAACACGTGTTCAGCAATAGAATAGTCGCAAGTTGTAAATACCAGGCCAACATGGTTTTGTTTCATCTCGTTTGTTTTTAAATATTTTTTAAATTTCTATTAATAAAGTAAATTTATTCGTATCCACGGTGTCAAACTTATTTCTCATTTATTAGATGAGATGCGCATGGCGTGCAGCAAGTTTCCATATATATATAAATAGTCGTGGTATAATCATTCATGCTATCAGTCAAGGACATGCTTCAAAGCAAACAATGCGCTGTTAACACAGACGTTTAACCTAAAGTATAGACTATCAGACTGTTTAGCTCGAAATGTCAAAGCGACTATGTGGTGTAGTTGATGGAACATCTGCCCGAAGAGCGGAAGGTCGGTTGTTCGAGCCCCGCTCGCGTCACAGCAAAAGACGTTTAAAGATGGTACTCGTTACCCTGCATTAAGGGGTTAAAACAAGGATAGATCAAGTGCCACACACACACACACACACACACACACACACACACACACACACACACACACACACACACACACACACACACACACACACACACACACACACACACACACACACACACACACACACACACACACACACACACACACACACACACACACACACACACACACACACACACACACACACAATAATCTTGAACATGACGTTAAACCCCATTTGATCTCATTATCGAGTTAAGCAATGCCATGCATGTATTTGAGTTTTCACATGATACAAGCAAGATAATTCCCATAAGTTCAGATCATAAGTTCAGGCATTTCTACTCCAAGGAACCTAGATTTGTGCCCATGGTTCTCCACATTCACGGGTTGTAACGTATCTGCCCGGAGAGCGGACTGTAACGTATCTCAAGGCAACTACTGATATGTGTGTAGCTGTGTCTGTAACGGGTTTTTGTGTAGGTCACACAAGTCACAGAATTTCCATAATTCCAGGGCACCACAGAGTATTCCCCCCAGACGACGTCGATGAGGACCATCATCGCCTTCTTCTGGTTCTGCGTCCTCATCATCGACGCCGCCTACACCGCCAACCTAGCCGCCTACCTCACTCTACAACAGATAGATGACAGGTGATTAGACGGAGTGGCTTCGGCTTGTGGTTGGTTGGTGTGGTTGTTAAAAATGTGGATTTGGACCAATCAGAACTGTGATTTACCCATGGTATCAAATATTTGTTACTCGTGCCGTAAAACAACATTCACTTACTTTTCATACGGTTAATTGAAAACACCAAAGACAGAGAATAATCAGATTAACTGGCGAGACAGGTTCCATTGGGCGTAAAAGGCAAAATTGTTGTGGAAATTATATGAATGGATCAATGAAAACCAATAATGTCACCAAGTGTTCGCGAAAAGGGTAAACATCCAACACTTACACAATTTTCACAAAAAGTAAGTGTTTGTTTGTTGCCTTGCGCCGCACAAAACAGTGTAAGCTTGTGACAGATGCAATTTGTAACTTGTAATTTACCATATGTTTGTAAGTGCTTTTTCATCCACAACACAAATATAATACGTATCAGCTCTCGTGATAATCTAAAAAAAAGAATGGAAGCATCAGTCCATCTTGTTTCAGCTTTCAAAATGCATGTTATTTAAAAATGTTAAAAAGAGGCAAACGAAAATGACACAAAAGTACTGAAAACAATTACTCAAGGGAAAGTGGTGTTCTTCAATATGGGGATATTGCTCCTCTATACCACCAGGGAGCAGTCGCTGAATCTGTCCTCATCCCGGATACCGCCCACACGCATTGAAGACGATGCCCTTGTGTAATATACGCACAGACCCAGGTCCTTGTTGAACACAGTAGGCGGCACAAGAGGGGAGGGTTATTAGTATCAGTCATATTCAATCAGATAGAGAGCTGTAGTGACTGGGATGAAGACACACTAGAGTCGGCTTTGTATATTCCGTTGTACAAAACGGTAGGCCGTGTATAAAAAAAACACACTTTATATTATTGGTTTTGGGTATGATGTAAGCCTTGGAAACGTTAATGTGTGTAAAGTATTTTCCCTTTGAGAATATGAAAAAATACTAACGACTTATCCCTCAGAAGCAAATTACATCTTCCCTAAAATCAATCAGATTTAGAATGGACACAATTCGATGAAATAAGCTTGAGATGTATGATACGTGACTTTAATTAAATATAATTTTGACAGTAGTAATTTTTGTTGTTGATTTATGAATTTAAGTATGTGTTTGAATGATCTTGAAAAGAAAGATCTTCAGTATAATTATATTTTACATTTTTCAGATGATGCGTTTGAGGCTATCTGTTTTTAATATCGAGTTTTGTAAGAGTAGTTTGCTTTGAGAGATTATGAGGTAATCCTGACAACTATACACATGTTTTGTTGTAAAAAAACCCCCAAAAAACATCATCGTCAGAGGATAACCTGTCTCGAGTCTCGAGTATCAGACGAAACAGATCCCATTGTCCGTAAAAGGCAAAATTGCGGTGAACATCATATGAATAGGTCACTGAAAATCAGTGATGGCACCAGATCTTCGCGAAAAGGAAAGGAAAATTACTACAGATGAGTTTTAAATGACCACACAAGCTGCTATAAAAACAGCCTATAACCGGCTGGGGTTGGTGTAAGTTTAAACCAAGTTTCTCTATGTCCCAGATACCATGATTGACAATATTCGTGCTATGTTATTCCAGGGTCAGGACAGTTTACGACCTGGCCGGACAGACAGAGATGTTGTACGGCGTTGAGAATAACAGCAATCTGATGACCTTCTTCAAGTAAGTTCAGCACAAGTTGGGTAGCACATCAGATAATGCGTTTACTCGTCATTAAGGAGTATCCGCGAAGAATGTGGGGTGGGAAGAATGTGTGTGTGTGTGTGTGTGTGTGTGTGTGTGTGTGTGTGTGTGTGTGTGTGTGTGTGTGTGTGTGTGTGTGTGTGTGTGTGTGTGTGTGTGTGTGTGTGTGTGTGTGTGTGTGATGATCGATTGAAATATATTGTTCCTGAATATTCTTGAAAAAAATTATTATGCTTATGCCAATTGCAAAAAATACATTGTTGCAAGGGGTTCTCTTTTACAAATTCAGGCTCATAGTTGTAAATAAAAAGAAATTCGCCGCTGAAGCTAAAGAAAATATCTAATGTCGATACAAAATCCAGCAACCCCAAACCCCCACCCCTTCAAATGGTCGGTCCCTTTAATCGTATATCACCGTATGTCGATGACATTGTTCGATGCTCAAACGGTGAGCAACTGGTTTGCCTTATCCTGACCGATGACACGTTCAGGCTGTCCTGATATGCATAGCCCACTTGATGCAAATATGAAACGTCGACGCCAGAGAATAATCTGTCTCGATTATCGACCGAAAGAGATTCCATGAAATTATATGAAGGAATCACTAAAAACCAGCGATGACACCAGGTGTTCACGAAAAGGGCAAGCATGTCATGCCCTCACCCCTTTTATTATGTAATTGCATATAAACCTAAGTGTTTGTTCGTTGCACAACGCCTCACATCAAACCCCCACATAACACCACTGTCACAGGCTTATTTGCATATCACGTGACCGGACTTGTTCGTAAACGCGTTATCTCTGAAATAACAGATTAGCCTTCTGCAAGTATTTTGGGGTGCTTTACATTTTATTTTTCATAATTATATAGATATGCTATAACAACTGCGACAGTGAGGTGCATGGCAATATATATTTATACATCAAAGTGACCACATCGCTGGCTCTCTGTAGCACCCCGATGACAGCATGTGGAGCTGTACTGCCAATGTAGACAAAGGATAACTACGAAAATGGAAACAGTTGTGCACGTTTTAGGATATTTTCTCAATGACAGTTCTAGTTTCTATGACATATGTTTATCTGCATGTGCAAACTTGTCAAAAATGAAACAGATGAAAAATTCTGCAATATCTAGAAGACCCATGAAGATCCGGGGTAGAATAGGTCTTCAGCAACCCATGCTTGTCGTAAAGGGCGACTATGCTTGTCGTAAGAGGCGACTAACGGGATCGGGTGGTCAGGCTCGCTGACTTGGTTGATGCATGTCATCGTATCACAATTCATAAATCGATGTTCATGATGTCAATCACTGGATTGTCTGGTCCAGACTCGATTATTTACAGACCGCCGTCAAACAGCTGGAATATTGCTGAGTTCGGCGTTAAACAACAACACAAGACATAGACAATATCTTGCAAGATGTGACGAATCGTCACATGGCGCTGGCCAATGGCAGAGGTTCTATGCCGGCCGCATGGAACTCTGGGAAGGAGACTGGCCTCACAGCAGTACTGTGTAAAGCACGTTTGCAATTCTTTCTTCCAGAGACGCCACCGTGGACCCGTATGAGCGAATGTGGGCTTTCATGAAGCTGAAAGAAGAACAAACCATGTTGTCGAACACCACTAAGATCATAGAGCTGGTTAAGGATGGGAAGTACGCCTTCATCGCAGACAGGGTTGTCAACGACTACCACGCCTTGCAACACTGCGGACTAGAATCTATTGAGCAGAACTTTGGTCAGAAAGACTTCAGCCTGGGCTTTCCACGCGGGGCTCCTTACAAGGACGATGTCAACAGAGCGCTGCTCTCTCTGAAGGAGGAAGGGAAACTAGACACCCTCACAAAGAAGTAGGTACCTCACGGGTGTAGCTAGTGGGAATCAAAACGTAAACAAACGTGTTCCTTTTTTCTTACTTACTTATGAAGCTTAATAACTATCAGACACATACTCAAATCAAGCAGGTTCATACAATATAAATACCGCCTCTAGAGGTAGGGCGTCCGCCCGGAGAACGGAAGGTTCGGGGTTCTATCCCCGGTCGCGTCATTCCAAAAGACGTTAAAAGATGGTACTTATTGTTACCCTGTCTGGCGCTCGGCATTAAGGGGCTAAAACAAGGACTGGTCGGCTCAGAGTCAGTAGACTGTATTCATGTTAAACTGCAGCATGGTATCTCAGTAGGACAGCACCATAAAACACACACACACACACACACACACACACACACACACACACACACACACACACACACACACACACACACACACACACACACACATACACACACACACACGTCGCTATATAAGTACAATAATCTTGTACGCGACGTTAAACCCCACTTCACCTCATCTCACCCGTATACTACATATAAAACAGAGATATCCTACAAACGTGAAATTAATGCGTCTCCAAAAGAATGCGACCGCTGGCCCCTAGCCAAAAATGCGACTCAAAATGAATGTGACACCCCCTCCTCTCAAGCATCAGTGGATTTATATCTAAACAAAATGTCCTCTGTCAGGTTTACAGGAGAATCCTCACCTTAATCCAACCTAACATTAATCCAATCCAAAATGTCTTTTTGTTGATATAAATGCGATGTTTAATAATGCGAGCAAAGACCACTCGCATTTTTCGCATTTAATTCACGCTCGAGTTAATTCACGTTTTACAGTATATCACTGCCACATTTGGACATAACTCATTGTGAGTGTACAATTTGATCATTATGATCAAACCCGATATCCCAACTCTGAAGCAACAAGCAAACACCACAATATCGAACCAACTCATCAGCGACACTTTTCACACAGGTCGCCGGGTCAACCTGTAAATTAACCACAGATCATGCAGCAAACGACCAAAAGAAGAACACACGATAGTACATTTCCTTAAGCTTATTCATATATTTCTATATAACACTTCCAAAATGTAAGCACTTACAGTTTGTACTACATAGTAGCTACGCCACTGATGCCGGAGCGCATCTGACGCCAGTTATTGAAACCTACCACGGAGGCGTCAGGTGATATCATCTAGGCTTCGCACAAAGTAACTTTGGCGCGAGGTTTGACAAATCGCGTACTTTAACACTGGCCTGTTCAAAGCATTGTGACAGCTGTGGTTTCGCTGAGGAGACGAGGGACACGTGTTACCCAGTCGCCTTAGCCGCCGCTATTTCCCGTGCAGTGTTGCGTCCCTTGGACTAGCCAGAAACCTATGATCGTGGGTTCGAATCCCGGTTCGATTATGTTTCCAGGTTTGTCAGCACCATACCCGTGCTGACGGGGTTTCACCAAAGTGGTAAACATCTGAAGCATGCATCAAGCTTTCCTCTCACATAACGCTGACACGCCATGATATAACCTGAATTCGGTTAAGGTAAATTCACTCTCACGCATAGCAGACGAGCAATACTCCCAAAAAGACCTGTATTAGAAAGTTTTTTTGTGAGTTCATCACCGGGAATGTGAAACCAATTTTACAAGATTTAAGCCACTATATTGATTGTAGCTGGAAAGGCACTAAGGGGTATGCTGTGTCACGACAGTAGTATTTTAGAGGTAGAATTCTATTGAAATCTGAAAAATATACAGAACTACGTCTGTAAGGTTGCTCAAGCGTCATAGGGCCAGTATGGTTAGGCATACCTTAATGTGTGTATTCCTTTCATGTAGAAGCTTGGAACCCAGCTCCTCTATAAGTACACCTTCAAAACATGTTTCATCTCAGTGTCGATCGCTAAATGGTACTCTAGTTTCATAAACAATGCCAGACATGCTCACTTGATGACACAGTAAGAAAGTGAGTATATAGTAATACCACAAGACATGAGTGAGTGAGTGGTGATTTGGGTTTAACGCCGCTTTTAACAGTATTCCAGTTATATCGCGGCGTGTCAGCTTAATGTGGGAGGAAAGCCCGAAGTGATGCAGGTCTCAGACGTTTACCACTTCGGTGAAACCCACGAGCACGGGTATGGTGCTGACAAACCTAGAACGCAGGCATGTATAACTTTATGGTACAGACCAAGGATCGTAATCGGGGAAAAATGGGATTCGAACCAACTATTTGAAAATCCTGGCAAATAGGCAACTCTTCGCATTAAATCACTGCACATGCCCCAAATCGTGATACCAGCTCATCTAACAAGAAAACTTCTTTGAGAGGCATTTAGAAGTTGGAGTACTACGTAAGGATAAGATTTATGGATTAACAACTTCTTTATTACCATTAGGAGCGACGTTTCGGTGTAGGTCCTAACACCGTTTGATAGAACCTTATCACGGAAACAATGCAGACCTATCGTCCAAAACTTTCTGGTGTCCCCCGCCGTGATATTGCTGGAATATTGCTAAGGCGGCGTAAAACCATACTCACTCACTCACTCACTCACTATCGTCCAAAACACAACTATGACACTCGTGTCAAATACATCACCATCAAATAACCATTTATTGTATATTTCGGTTTTAGCCACCATCAAACATGGGTGTATAATTCTTATGCCCGGCAGTGTATGAGAAACTTAAGAATACGATTAAAGACCACGCCAATGGTTTCTCCCTAGGTGGTGGAAGTCCCGCACCAACTGTACTGGAGACTCGAAGACGCGGTCAATCAAGGACAAGACCACCAAGGAATTGGAGCTGACCAACATGTTCGGCGTCTTCATCGTCCTCGGCTCCTTCGTCGTCTTGTCGGTCATCGTGGAGATTATAGAGAGGATCACAATATGTGTAGAAGGCAAGAAGAAGCAGAAGAAGGTAGGCTGGCATCATCCTCGTTCGTACAGGGTGATTTACAGACAAATAACATTACAAGCGACTCAGACAGTATTGGTGCACTATTATCGGAAAACCATACATTGATAGAACAATGGCTAAACAGTGTTTTAAGCAGATGTATAACTCGAATACAAACACTCACCAATTATATAAGATAAAAATGTGTTTGGGCGGTGGGATAGCCTAGCGCTTAAAGCGTTCGCTCGTTACACCGAAGTTTCGATTCCCTATATGCATACAATGTGTAAAGCTAATTTCTGCTGTCCCCCGCCTTGATGTTGCTAGTGCGTCATTAAACCATACTCACTCAATCACTAAAACATGTGTCCTAGTCGTCTCAGGCGCTTTACCTCCCTGTGGTGAGTTGCGTCCCTTATTTGTGTCGGGATGCGATGCCGTGAGTTCTAATATTAGATTCGCGGTGTCTATGATTGTTTGTTTGTCAGCACCTCAATCGTGCTGGTGGGTTTCACTAACCCAGGAAACGTGCACGACCTGCAGTAGTTGGTACTTTCATCCCACGTTCTAGCGATACGTCATGAAACGAATACGATGCTTTTTAAAGCGATAATAACCCTAATTCACCCCACGGTCAACGGTTCCTGACACAACTAAGGGGCGCTACTCTGTACAACAAATTGCGACACAACTCGTTGCTCTTGTAATGTAACAGATTTTTAAACAGTGCGATTGTAAAGCCGAACATACGTTGTGCCAGCTATTGTTTAAACTTGTCTTTTTATTCAAGGAAAAGGAAGAAGTAAAGGAAAAGCCCAAACCATTGAGCGAAGGATTCCAGCCTCCAGCAATTACAGAAGGATCCGAGAAGAAAGAGAAATCACTCTTTGCTGATTACTGAAACAAAGACGCAAACCATTATGCAGGCAACGTGGAGGCACAGGCACCATCAATAAATCCAAAGAGTTGATTCTGGCAATCTTCAAGACTTTAATTTAACATGCTACATGCTGACACGGAGCTTAACGGTAAACTCACGCAATCAAACAGTGAACAGCCAGTCTGCCCTTTGACGCCGCGTTACCATCATCATTGCACATTCCATGGACCATGGGCTAATTTGCAAGAATATTAGATACCGATTGTGCTCAGACAGGTTCGAAGACGAGACGTCAATTCCATAAAAGGTTCACAAAATGGGTATCATAATCGTACGGATCACATACAACATGCAATATGAGCGATTTTTGGCAAGGGCAATCAATGTATATTGTTGTGTCCAGTGAAAATCGGTGTACAATGAATATCAAGATTGTCTGGATTTTGTCTTAACTATGTCGCCATGGTTACCTGGAAGTTTTCTGCCTACTTCAGAAAGGTTATGAAAGGTTATGACCTAGTCATTTGGAAATAGGATTCTGATGACAAGGTATCGCAGGTGGCGTATCTAAGTGATGCATTGGTCGTAAATTACTGTTGTGGAAGTGCCTTTGATATTCCCTTGCGTCAGTGCTTGTCTTCAATGGGCCACAGAGTAATCAAAATACAATTTTACACACTATTCCACTTTAAAGGGCTCACATTCATGTTTCCTGCTCGCGGGCTCAACCAAATTGTAAATATTTTTGAATTGTGTATCTCTTTGGCTTCCCTCCCACGATAAGCATGACCCTTGCCGTCACACTGTTAAAAGCGGCGTTAAACGAATATCACTCACACACTGTTATACAGTTTGAAGATGAAGTTGCAATGTCATTAATTCTTTAAGAGATTCAGTGAATTTGAGTTTTTACGTATATTTGTTGTCCACCTCTGTGTTGGTGTATACAAGATGGTACGTCCTATTTCTGATAATTTACGTGTTGTCCAGTTTGTATTCAAGGTTCCCACTACCTCATGCTTATCAGGGCGTGTGTAGATCGGGCGGTGTCAACGTGTTACCTGTTCTATTTCGTGTCACCACGTTGCGGGTCGTGTCTCCTGCTGTCAATCTTTAGACTGTTTTTTTACAGGTTGCTGTGATGTAGCTGCAATGATGCTGCTTGCGCCGTAAAACAATATCCGCTTAATGTGAATGTCAGTGCGCAGAAATTGTTGAGTGAAGTTTAATTTTGCATGTATGTTTTATTGCTTCTGCGCCAAACAATTGAATTTCTAAATATATCTTTACAATTTGTGAAAATAAATGTATTAAAAGTCTACACAAGTTTCTATTTTCTTCTTTTTGCACAAGTATCAACAAAGTAATCTTTGTTGTGAACTACACTGTTTATTTGAAAAAAGAAAGCAAAGTTACCCAACCATTCTTTCCTGGATCCCAACAGAAATCCAAGAGGCATTGATTGTGTGTGATTGCAGTGAAAGGCACCTGTCGCCTTAAAAAGAATGTTGAACATTGTTTGAACATTGTATCTCACCAGACTCTCGAGCAATGTGTGAGACACCCCACCACAGACTGTCGACCAATGTGTGAGACATCTCCCCACAGACTGTCGAGCAGTGTGTAAGGCATCTCACCACAGTCTGTCGACCAATGTGTGAGACATCTCCCCACAGTCTGTCGAGCAATGTGTGGGAACCCCACCACAGACTGTCGAGCAATGTGTGGGAACCCCACCACAGACTGTCGAGCAAGGTGTGAGACACCTCACCACAGACTGTCGACCAATGTGTGAGACACCCCACCACAGACTGTCGACAAATGTGTGAGACATCTCCCCACAGACTGTCGACAAATGTGTGAGACATCTCCCCACAGACTGTCGACAAATGTGTGAGACACCTCACCACAGACTGTCGACCAATGTGTGAGACACCCCACCACAGACTGTCGACAAATGTGTGAGACATCTCCCCACAGACTGTCGACAAATGTGTGAGACATCTCCCCACAGACTGTCGAGCAAGGTGTGAGGCACCCCACCACAGACTGTCGAGCAATGTGTGAGACACCCCACCACAGACTGTCGACCAATGTGTGAGACATCTCCCCACAGACTGTCGAGCAAGGTGTGAGGCACCCCACCACAGACTGTCGACCAATGTGTGAGACATCTCCCCACAGACTGTCGAGCAGTGTGTAAGGCATCTCACCACAGTCTGTCGACCAATGTGTGAGACATCTCCCCACAGTCTGTCGAGCAATGTGTGGGAACCCCACCACAGACTGTCGAGCAAGGTGTGAGACACCTCACCACAGACTGTCGACCAATGTGTGAGACACCCCACCACAGACTGTCGACAAATGTGTGAGACATCTCCCCACAGACTGTCGACAAATGTGTGAGACATCTCCCCACAGACTGTCGACAAATGTGTGAGACACCTCACCACAGACTGTCGACAAATGTGTGAGACACCCCACCACAGACTGTCGACAAATGTGTGAGACATCTCCCCACAGACTGTCGACAAATGTGTGAGACATCTCCCCACAGACTGTCGAGCAAGGTGTGAGGCACCCCACCACAGACTGTCGAGCAATGTGTGAGACACCCCACCACAGACTGTCGAGCAATGTGTGAGACATCTCCCCACAGACTGTCGAACAATGTGTGAGGCACCCCACCACAGACTCTCGAGCAACGTGTAAGGCATCTCACCACAGTCTGTCGACCAATGTGTGAGACATCTCCCCACAGTCTGTTAAGCAATGTGTGGGAACCCCACCACAGACTCTCGAGCAATGTGTGGGGCATCTCACCACAGACTGTCGAGCAAGGTGTGAGACACCCCACCACAGACTGTCGACCAATGTGTGAGACTTCTCCCCACAGACTGTCGAGCAAGGTGTGAGGCACCCCACCACAGACTGTCGAGCAATGTGTGAGACACCCCACCACAGACTGTCGACCAATGTGTAAGACATCTCCCCACAGACTGTCGAGCAAGGTGTGAGACACCTCACCACAGACTGTCGACCAATGTGTGAGACACCCCACCACAGACTGTCGAGCAACGTGTAAGGCATCTCACCACAGTCTGTCGACCAATGTGTGAGACATCTCCCCACAGTCTGTCGAGCAATGTGTGGGAACCCCACCACAGACTCTCGAGCAATGTGTGGGGCATCTCACCACAGACTGTCGAGCAAGGTGTGAGACACCCCACCACAGTCTGTCGACCAATGTGTGAGACATCTCCCCACAGACTGTCGAGCAAGGTGTGAGGCACCTCACCACAGACTGTCGAGCAATGTGTGAGACACCCCACCACAGACTGTCGACCAATGTGTGAGACATCTCCCCACAGACTGTCGAGCAAGGTGTGAGGCACCCCACCACAGACTGTCGAGCAATGTGTGAGACACCCCACAACAGACTGTCGAGCAATGTGTGAGGCACCCCACCACAGACTGTCGAGCAATGTGTGGGGCATCTCACCACAGACTGTCGAGCAAGGTGTGAGGCACCCCACCACAGACTGTCGAGCAAGGTGTGAGACAACCCACCACAGACTGTCGACAAATGTGTGAGACACCTCCCCACAGACTGTCGAGCAAGGTGTGAGGCACCTCACCACAGACTGTCGAGCAATGTGTGAGACACCCCACCACAGACTGTCGACAAATGTGTGAGACATCTCCCCACAGACTGTCGACAAATGTGTGAGACATCTCCCCACAGACTGTCGAGCAAGGTGTGAGGCACCCCACCACAGACTGTCGAGCAAGGTGTGAGGCACCCCACCACAGACTGTCGAGCAATGTGTAAGGCATCTCACCACAGACTATCGAGCAATGTGTAAGGCACCCCACCACAGTCTGTCGACCAAGATGTGAGACACCTCACCACAGACTGTCGAGCAAGGTGTGAGGCCCCCCACCACAGACAGTCGAGGAAGGTGTGAGGCACCCCACCACAGACTGTCGAGCAAGGTGTGAGGCACCCCACCACAGACTGTCGAGCAAGGTGTGAGGCCCCCCACCACAGACTGTCGAGCAATGTGTGGGGCATCTCACCACAGACTGTCGAGCAATGTGTGAGGCACCCCACCACAGACTGTTGACCAATGTGTGAGACATCCCACCACAGACTGTCGAGCAACGTATGAGACAACCCACCACAGACTGTCGAGCAAGGTGTGAGGCATCTCACCACAGACTGTCGAGCAATGTGTGAGGCACCCCACCACAGACTGTCGAGCAAGGTGTGAGGCACCCCACCACAGACTGTCGAGCAATGTGTGGGGCATCTCACCACAGACTGTCGAGCAAGGTGTGAGGCACCCCACCACAGACTGTCGAGCAAGGTGTGAGACAACCCACCACAGACTGTCGAGCAAGGTGTGAGGCACCTCACCACAGACTGTCGAGCAATGTGTGAGGCACCCCACCACAGACTGTCGAGCAATGTGTGGGGCATCTCACCACAGACTGTCGAGCAAGGTGTGAGACACCTCACCACAGACTGTCGAGCAATGTGTGAGACATCCCACCACAGAATGTC